TATTAAACCTATGGTCTAGCTCTAATGTCCCTAGTGGAGTTGTCATTTTGTTACTACCCGACATCCGAGGGACTCCCAATTATTTAAGATAATTAGATCTTTGATGTTTATGAATTATTTATAGGGACGTAAGTGATAATTGATTTTGGGAGTCACTACCTAATATTGTAGGAAATAAGAGCCTAAAAATAACACTAGTCTAGAGATTTTAGAATAAGGAGTTGGTTACACTCTTAGGTGATCGATTTGGAAAGATATCGATAATCAAAAAGCACCCTTTCCGAATAAAAGTACCACGTCTAGTTTAGTACTAACATTTATCTCATAAGGTATTTTATTTGTGCCAAATTATTCCAATTTAAAGTCTAATTTTTTTTCTAGGCTAAATTAAGTTTTTTATTTATGACATCATATTAAACCAATTATTAGACCTTTTTGTAGGGAGACATGTCGGTTTAGTATCGGATCTATTTTAAGTTTCGACATAACCGATGTATTAAAGAACTACCTAATTACTAAATCAATTATTATTTTTTTAATTAAAAACATTCTCTATTAAATAGTAGACTTTGTTAATGTTTCGTAGTAACTACTCCTTTTTTCCCTTTTTTCTTTTCTTTAACCTAAACATTTTCTCTCCTTTTTTTCTTCTCTCTTTTTCTCTCTCTTTCTCTTTTTCTTTTTCTTTTTTTGATTTTTTCCTAGCATTTCTTTTTTATTTCCTCAATAATCCTTTCTCTCTGTTTTTTTTTTTGTTCATCAACTTTTTATCATCTTTTTTGTTAGTTGGGAATTGTCATCGATCCCTAAAAATAAGAGATTTGACAATCCATCTAGCTATTAATTACTTAACTTAATTATTGAAATAAATTCTAAATTAAAATTAACTTTAACTAAATAAATTTAAGAAATTTTTTTTAAAAAATTAATCTAAATTAAAAATGAAACAAAAATATATAAATAAAAGGCATTCATAGACAGGCCATTTTGTTTCATACATGAGTTTGCCTCAGCCCAGCCTTTTATCCTAGCCCAACCCACTTTGTTTTTTTTTTTTTTTTAATTTCTAGACTAGCTAAGTCCATTAACACCTCTTAATTTTTCTTTTTTCGCATTTTTTATCTCAACTATCTCTCGTCTCTCTTCTTTCTCGTTCAGTAGCCCAGAAAGCTTCTTTCCCCTCCTTCATCTCTTTCACCCGGTTAAAACCTAAAAAAACCTACCGAGATCGAGATGATCTCATCCTCTGAACCAATTCTCTTTTTTCCTCTTAGAATCGAACACAAAACACTCAATCTCTCTCTTGTTTGGCCTCATTCAACCTCCATCCCCCTTACCCATAGAAAATCCAAAAACTTTTCTTCCCTCTTCCTTGTTTAATTCCCCTCAAATGTGAAGAAACAGGGGGTTTACATGTTGTGTGATGGCAGTGACCAAGTCACTACCATCATTGGTTTTTGAACAAACTAGAGGCAGGAGGTTTGATGAGCTAAATCGAAACGAAAGAGGAAGAAGAAGATTTACCTGAGTCGCTCGATCAAAGATGAAATAATGGTAGTGAGGGGGGCTAGTAGCCTTCTACTTGATCTCTCAAAACTATTCTTCGCCCAACCCCAGAAACCCAGAACCTTTGAAACCCATGATTTCTTAAGTAAGAACCCAGAAAAGAACCTAGAAATATCCCTTTGAAACCCAGAGATTCAAACCTTTGAAGCCCAGAAGCTCTCGATTCTCAGAATTGCTTAGAGTTCTTTTCCTCTTAAATTTCATCAGAAATTCTCCTATCCAATTTTCACAATTCCCATAATTCTCACATAATTCCTTCTTCTGTCCAAATTATGCCTCCAATCCTCCTTGTCTGTTTCCTCAATTCCCATCCTTTTTATAGGCAACCAATACCCTAGGATCCTTCATTGGTTTGAATTGTCTATTGCAAAAGCCAAAAACCCAGTATTAGGTTTTCGGCATTCTGTGAAAAGAAATGTGTGTATGTGTAATGAGGTGCAATGTGGTGCAGAGCTGGATGGTGTAGTGGAGTAGAATGTAGCGTAGTGGATCAGGGTGGTGAGCGTGATTCTTGGCTGGTACAATTGCCAGCCAAGAATCACAGTGGTAAAGATAAAATTTTAAGAATTTTGTCTCCAATAAAAAGGTTGAAGACGAACCCACGAATTGATTCTTTGTTGGAGTGAACTACAAGGTGTTCGCTAGAATTTAGTCCTATCATATTCTCTTTTGTTTTTCAATTTAGGCCTCTATTACTTTTATTTTATTCAATTATACCCCTGACGCAATTAATAAATTCTTTTTGTATTTTGCATTTTATATTTTATGTATTTTTATTCTTTTTCTAATTTTTTTTAATAAATTCCAAAATAAAGTAAAAATAAAATAAAATAAAACCAAAACAAAAAACAAATAAACAATAAAAAGGGGGGGGGGGGGAATTTTTGGGTTGCGACACTTTGTAACCACATTAGGCATACAGTGGAATTGAATACAACTTCTATTTACAAAGGATTATCTTCTTCCAACAGCATAATAAGATCTCTAACCTCTATTGTTTTTCCTTATTTGTTTCCCATAACTCTGTCATATTTCTACCTCAATTCCTCCCCTCTTCCTCTCAATTATTCTGAGATTCCCACATTTCTCCTACTTTCTATTTTCCTCAATTCTTTACCTTAAAAACATTACTTGAGAATAAAAACAAATTTCAATAGGATTGTTTAAAAATTTGATTAAAAATATTATTTAGAATTCAGAATTTGAGTAAGTTTGTGTATACTAATTTTAATTTGAATAAGAATTATTTGATTAAAAATCGTCATTAGAGGGAGCCAACTCAACTGGACGTGTAAATTTAGTAATAGCGATTCAAAAGAATTTAATTTTAAAATAATTGGATTTCATAATCATAACAAAAATTAAACTCGGACGTATGTGAGTGGAAGAAATTCAAAATTGAAAATTAAATTTAGCGCAACATTGAAAGTGTTTGAAACTATTTTATCTTTTTAAACAATTCTCTTAACCTTTTTTTTCCCCAATAAAGGAGCAAAATTAATTAAAAGTATTTGAAACTGTTTACATCCAAAATAAACACTCTTCCAATTGATCATGAATAATGGGCTAATTTGCAATATTATTGCCTGCTAGGATTAAATTTGGTTCTTCAAGAAATTCAAGGGATCAAGTTACATAAAGACAAGACAACTCTCTCTTCATTGGAATTGCATTAGATGTGCGGGCCCCGAGTTGATAGATATTGCTTTCTGCCGATATATAGAAGTGCCCCAAGCGGAGTGCATGATAAGCTGAAGAAGGAATGGCTAAACTAATGGCCCTTAGTAACAATGTTTCCTTTCTTACCTTTCTTCTTCTCTGTCTTTTTGGCTCTGCAACCACTCAATCAAACCGTGTGGTTGAAAAAGCGTCGTTGCCTCCAGATGAAGGTATATAAACAGTTTTTTTGTTACTCAGTAGCTTTATTATCTTCTTCCTCCTTTTCTTTTTGTTTTTTTTTAATAACACATCATCGGTAACTTCCAGAAACTATCCTGTGTTCTAATTTCACTTTTCTATCCATTCTTCACAAAAAATCACCTTTCATCCTCGAGAACTCGACTCAACTCTATCAACTATTTCCTTAATTTTCTTTATAGTAATTGTTAATTAATTCATAGGTATCCTCTTCCTCTCTCTCTCTCTCTCTCTCACGACGTAATTTTATTATGAAAATAATTTTTTAATTATGGTTTTTTAAATACGAAGTCAAGTTATTTTTAAAAAAATCGTGTCAAACGGATTAATCTTAATGTCATGCCATAAACATTTGGCAGCAAAGGCTCTTGGTGACTTCGTAACCACGTTAGGCGTACTGTTTGTATTGGATATAACTTCTGTCTGCGATTGGAGTTATAGTGAAAATTTATTCAGGTGCAATTGCACTCACGAGAACAACACTGTTTGTCACATCACAGAAATGTAAGTTTGTCAGGAACTCGATACATACTCTTAATTTTTATTTTTTTTAATTATTTCTTTGCAATACATCCTCTTTAAAAATCAATGATTCCTATGCTAACGCCATTTTTGGCGTATCAGATTATATACTATTGTTTAATGCAGGAGATGTCCTTGTGGAAGGGATTCCATCAATTTAGGCCGAATAAATCATAAATTAGTTCTAGTTTTGTAAAACAAATTAAATAATTCATTTGGTTTTAATTATTCTCTTAACCAATGTTGATCATCATTAATTTTTCCTAAAAAACGTAAATTTTTTTCTTATCAATTAATCCATATTTTTAACTTTTTTTTTTCTATTTCTTAGAACAAAAAATAAAATAAATTTAAAAATAAAAAATTAAATTTTAAATAGATTTAAAATATAGAGACTAATTAATTAGTTTTTGAAACTAGGAGAATTATCTAATTCATTTTGAAAAACTAGATGAACTAATTTATAATTTAGTCATCTAAACATTATAGTTAAAAAAAAAAGCAATTGGACACTAAACATTTTAGAATCGGATAAGAAAATAATAATAAACTAATTAATTTATTCATCTATCTCTTTATTCATGATAAATTATAATAATGCATGATAATCAATGTTTTGACTTGTGGCCTTCATTAAAAATAATAATAATGAAATAAAATCGTTGATCTCAAATCATTGATAGCAATCGTATTTATGACCGATTATCTTAACAGTGATTTGTCGAAAAGAGAACTCCATGGTACACTTTCTTCCTCGTTGGGGAGCTTGACTTCACTCAAATACCTGTAAGTGATCATGTACTATTGTTGCACTTTTTCCAATATTATTCTCTTCGTACCATAAATTATTGGTATGCATCGATAATCAATGTTTTGACTTATGACTTTCATTAAAAAAATAAAAATAAAAATAAAAATTGTTGAACTCAACTTATTGATAGCAATCGTATTTATGATCAATCATCTTAACAGTGATTTGTCCGAAAACCAACTCAATGGTACACTTCCTGCCTCGTTGGGGAACTTGTCTTCACTCACCCACCTGTAAGTGATCCAGTACGATGAATAGTTATCAAGATGACGGATCTGTTTTCTATATATACTACCAATAGGATGCATAGTTACAAGTCACACACTCAAACCAGAAGCGGAATGATTCCACTCGATCATAGTGCTGATATCAGAAACAAGAGACTAGTTCTGATGCGATTCACCAAGTAAATTGAATCAACAATCACTTTCCTATAACACAATTTCCGAGCTTTGTGAGCACCATATCTAAATGCTAGAAGTTCTAGAGTTATATATCTAGATGAGCCTACATGGCAAGAGAATCCCCAAATCCTGCTAGTTTAACTTCAGTATTTATGTTTGTGGATGTAATAATGGGATTGGACTTGTATGGATATTGCTAAATGAGTGCTATACTGTATGTTTTACACATGCATAGCTATCTAGCCGGAAACTTCCTCAGTGGCTCCATACCTCCATCTTTGGGGAATTTATCGTCCCTCCAATCACTGTAAGTATATAATCACAGACGTCCTTTCAGTAACATATAATGTGAATTAAATCTCTTTTCATTGTTGTTGTAAGTTTTAATGCGCCTAAAATTCTTGTGGGTGTTTTCAGATATTTGGCGGATAATATGTTATCAGGTCAAATTCCTAAAGAATTGGGGAACCTTTCTAATCTCCTTGAGATGTATAATATCTTACCCATCCTTTCATTGTTCTTGAATTTTCATTATCTTATTCAGTTCTGCTTGGTTTTATTTATTTATTTATTTTTGCTATATATTTAATTAGGACCTTGCACTTGAATGAACTCACTGGTCAGCTTCCACCAGAACTTGAAAGACTGAGATCTCTTATTGCTTTGTAAGTTTCAAAAAGCAGAATAATAATAACATAACACTTCGTAAAACTATTGAGGATAGTAAGAAGAAGAAGGATTGATTACAATCTTTATAATTTGTTGTTGTAGAGTGTTGAGCTCCAACAAGTTGACTGGACAACTGCCGAGAAACTATGCCAACTTTACGAAATTGTGGATCTTGTAAGTGTAACTCATCATGTTCTTTAAGTCTAACGATCTGTTCTGTGGTCCGTTAAATATTGCTCAAGCAAATGCAACTAATGGCTGCAGTAGCGTAGCTGGGAACCGCTTGACTGGTCAAATACCGAGGTTCATTGCAAATTGGACTCAACTCTCTGACCTGTAAGAAATTATTAGCGCTTGCAATGATACTGCACATTTAAATCTTCCTTTTATATGCTGTTTTTTTTTCCTTTTATTTGGGCAAAAGCTCCCATGCGACTTATTGAACTTGGAGGCAATAGTGTTGGGTAACACTAACACATACACCACTCAACTCTCTGTTAATGAAAAATGAAATGAATTGAAAATAATTTTTTTTAGTATTTGGATAGTAAAAATGAAAGGAAAGAAAATGGAGGGAAAGCTAATTACTTTCAATATTTTAAACAATGAAAAAAACATTGGGTGCTATTAGGCCTTTTCAACTTCAAAAATAAGTTCAAAGAATGAGATTTTTTAGCACACTTATAACCATATATCTAACTCTTCTTACAATCCATTGAAGATAATCCAACAATCTCTCCGCTAGACCGCAAGAGTACTTATTCTATTTAAGGTTTAAAGTACCTTGTTTTGAGAAAATAGATTAAAAAGTGCTTTATTTAAGGAAAAAAAACACGGAAGGTTTGAATTGATCTTCAACATGATATTCAGTTATTTGTCTTCTTGTGTACTGATGATAGGTATCTCTCCGGAAATGATTTTGAAGGGCAGCTGCCTCAAGAACTTTTTAACCTGTCCAAACTTGAGTACTTGTAAGTGTTCTATAATTTTCATAGGATTGAAAGAAGTGCATATTTTATTCTTGATAGTTTTTCTTCCAGGGTGGTTAGTGATGTCAGAAGCTCGGGCTTCTCTTTCCCAGAACGTGCAAATATGACCAAAATAACTTACCTGTGAGTTTTCTAAGTATAGTTTCCTGTTACCATAATCCTTCCTTTGTTTTTCCTTATAGCTATAAAGCAAGGCTCAGACTACATAATCACATATTAACAACTTGATAGTTGCAAGAAAAACAAAAAAAAAAAGAGCTTGGAATTTTTATGCCTTACACCGTCCTTTCATTAATTAACTTACACACTCAAATTTAACGTTGTTAAAATTTTAAATTGGCAAAGTCATGCAATGGATAAATCCAAACACCAAACTTCTTCAATGGTTTGTGTAGGGTACTAAGGAATTGCTCAATAATTGGTCAAATCCCCTCATACATTGGTGATTGGTCATCATTAGCATACCTGTAAGTTTCATTTCCCCCTTATAAATGAATTGTAGGTCTTTCATAGCTATTTTGTTTCATCTATTAGATTATGCTCATTGTTTATGGCCTTTAGACCATGCAATATCCATTTGAAATGATAATTTTGACGATCTTTTGATTATGAGCTTTACAGAACCTACTACACAATAGTTGATCATTGGATAACTATTAGTAAGATGTCAAATGATCTAATATGTAGGATAACGATTGCTTTCTTTTTTTTCTTTTTTTTTTTTGGTCCTGCAGAGACTTGAGCTTTAACAATTTAACAGGTGGAATACCAGATTCCATGAAAAAGCTGAACTTCAGTAAGATGTATGCGAAGGAGATTTCTGGAACTCAATTAATCCTTCTTATCATGAATTCCATTTGTCAATCTTTTAAAAACATGGGATGGATTTCATATAGGTTTGTTTTGCTTAGGTTTCTCACAAGAAATATGCTTAATGGCACAATACCTTCCTGGATTCCTCATGTCATTGAAAACAAGGCGTATGTTATGGCTCTGCTCTCTTTGCTTGGATGGGTTGTTTTCCGTTTTGTAGATTGCCTCAATAAAATCTTGATACGTTTATTTGAAAAAAAAAAATGTTGCAGGGATCTGTCCTATAATAATTTTGAAAATTCACATGATGTTGGCACAAAAGGAGAGTTTGATCGATCAGGAAAGCTTATCATGTAACAACTGCGTCTTCATTTTTTTCTTCTTTTTGTTTCATTTGGCAAGAGTTTTGTTTGATATGAAATTTCAATTGCTGATGTTCTCGTATTCTGTGCATCAATTACTTGCGTGTTGTTGGCTTGTTGCTACTCAAGCAGTAAACCAAACAGGTATGGTAATATCCTTTATATCGTGTAATTAATTTAGAGCAAAGTAACCTGTGTTATTTCTTACAGATTTCGTTTGCTTTTTCTAGGAATTATATACGTGATTTGACAAATAAGTGTCGGGGAAAACCACAGTGTAAGTTCTATTGAGAAGCTCACGTTGGATAGTATTTTTTACACTCGTGAGTCGTTCATTTAAAATGTTTATTGGCTTAATCTGAGCTTTGGAATAACATATACAATGTCTACTAGAAAGTTGATACTCTTCTTAAAACTCTCTCGAGATTTTAGCGCAGGACAAATTTTCTGTACTGATAATCATTTTTTTGCAGACGATTCCTTGTACATAAATTGTGGAGGCATACAAAATGTTTTTGAGGAGAAACTGTTTGATGGAGACAGTGCAACATCCAATTTCTATACCGCTCCAAAAAAAAATTGGGCTTATGCTTGTTCTGGAGACTTCGATTCAGAAACTGATGATTCCAGCGATTACATAAAAAACGTGGAATGTGCAGTTTGTGATACTGCCGAGACATTTTTGTACAACTCAACTCGCTTCTGCCCACTTTCTCTGACATATTACGGGTTCTGTTTATTTAAAGGACATTACACCGTGAGACTTTACTTCGCTGAAAATGTTTACCAAAATGATGAAGGTCATGCAAGTTTGGGGAGACGTGTGTTTGATGTATATATGCAGGTAACGGTTCTAATTTTTGTGCAGCTTCTATAAAAAATTACGATCATCCAACAACTACCATTTGATACAGGGGAAGAGAATATTGAAGGACTTCAACATAAAAGAAAGGGCGAGAGGAGCAGATAAGCCATGGACTCAAAATTTCACAGCATTTGTAGGAGATGATAATCTATTAGAGATCCATTTTTTTTGGGCTGGCAAAGGATCTTTCCTGGAGCCATCTTTTCGCTATAAATCTTCTCCACTGTCTCTAACTGGACCTCTTGTGTCAGGCATTTCCGTAACAGCAAGTAAGAGAGTTGCATTTCTCTTAATTTTGTTGAGTAAAGATTTCCGTTACGCTTCATCTGGATGAAAATATACTAATAATAATTTCTTGCTGTCCTCCACTATTTTCATTCAGATTTCGAAGTTCGCAAGAAACTATCTCCTTCAAAAATCGCTGGGATTACAGTAGGTTCAGTATTTGCTCTTCTGCTTTTGTTGGCTTTTATGTGGAAAATGGGCTGGCTGCGGAAAAGTGAGCTAGATGGTATGTCTCTATGCTAGTCTAAAATCATTATGCACTACACTACCTTGAAGAATCTTACTTTGATGTTTTCTTCAAATAGAAATAATTATAGAGGTCCAAGGAAGATCTTTCACCCTCAAAAAAATAATCGACGCTACTCGAAATTTTAGCCCCAAAAAGGAGATTGGCAAGGGGCGTTTTGGAATAGTATACAAGGTTAGAGTTTGTTTGTTTGTTTGTTTTTTTTTTTTTTTGAGCATTTATTCTTGCAGGGAACGTTTATCTTTTAAAGTTCTAGAGAATTAATTTCACATGGATGCAGGCCGAATTGTCAAATCAGATTAAACTAGCAGTGAAGAAGATTTCCCCTCAAACAAAGCAACAAGGAAAAGATGAATTACAGAGGGAAATCTACAACCTGAAATCCTTGCGTCATGAGAATCTTGTTCAATTGTTGGATGGCTATTCTAAGAAAGGCCTGAATCTGTTAGTGTATGAATACATGGAAAAGGGCTCCCTTCATCACACCTTGTTTGGTAATATTTCCATATACCACCCAATTTTCGCCCTGCATTTTCAATTCTGGTCAATTTGTTAGAATGATGAATAAGCCTTGTCTCTCACCGGTTTCCCTTCCAACGGTTCCATCTTTGACAATAAGAATCAACTACCCTAATATGCATGGATGTTATTTGTTTATCCAATGCTGCTTATGTAATCCTTCAAGATTAAGCAACTTTTTGACTGCTAAGTCTTGATTTGTAGAGCCAAATTCCACAACAAAACTTGATTGGGAAGCTAGATATGACATCTGTTTGGGGATAGCAAAAGGTTTGAAGTATCTACATGAAGAAAAAAGGTTCAAGATTGTTCATGGAAACATAAAAGCTAGTAATATTATGCTCGATAAAAATCTTACTGCCAAGTTATCTGACTTTGGATTGGCAACGCTTTATGATGAGGAAGATCCATTTATGACTATCAAAGCAAAAGGATTGCGGTAAGTATTATGATCAATGATTGATTTTTAATTTGGTTTCTAGTAGGCCTAACCAATAATCTCTCATTGTAGGGTTTATATGGCACCCGAATACGCAATGGGAAAAGCAATCACGGTTAAAGCTGATGTTTATAGTTTTGGAGTAGTCGTATTTGAAATAGTTAGTGGAAAAACTGGTGCAGAATATAAACCCAATCAAGAAGCTGATTTTCTTCTAGATACTGTAAGTGAATTTGACAACATTAAGCCCTCTAAGCTATTAGTGTATCAAATATGTTCTGTCAAACATTAGATGTGTGAATTCTCCCACAAACTTAAAGCTAATCATGCTTTGTGATTGCAGGCTGGTGTTTTATACGAACAAGGAAGGATTCTTGACTTGGTTGATAAGAAATTATCATGTAGTTATGACCGGAAACAAGCCCTCATTCTTTTGCATTTAGCTATTAAGTGTGTTAATCTGTCTCCTACTCTCAGACCTAAAATGTCTGAAGTCATCAGTGTACTTACAGGTGAGAAAAATATTCAACAGATTTCCCAAGGCGATACTCCCTTAGAAAATATTGGAGGTTCGTGTGATACATCTTCGAGGGTGCCGGAAATAAATCCAACTCCTTAGCCAAGTAGAAATCATTATGGGACTAGGTTTATTGGTAATGTTATTTTTGGTTTGGAAAACCTTATGCTTTTTTAAGAAAATTTAATGCTCTGTACTGTAGGTCTTTGGTCTCATTGTGTGTTGGTGACAAGAGACCGTTGTGTGCTTAAGAGACACTATGAGAAATATTGTGTGTTTGTGAATTAAATAAAATTGTTACAAGACCATGTTTCTGATTTCCTTTTGATGATATATTTTGTTGACCAAAAGCTGACAATAAGAAAGCGGCTAAGAAAATATGGAAAGAAAGCAAAAGAAGAGTTAAAACCAAGTAAGAAACTCGTGTGGACGATCTAAGGTTTGTTTAGCTAATTGGTCCATTTCCTTCCCTTAATATATAGATGAAGCTAACTGATTTCAAAACCTTAACCAGCAGGGTAATGGAGTTTAAAACACTCTGCAATCTCCAAGGCCCGCTGTACGTTCTCTTGTGGAGCCAATTGATTACATTTGATCACGTGTTGTCACCAAATTTTTGAGGTCAAATTATTAGAGAGGAAGATTATTCGTATAGCCTTAGTCATAAGATTCTCTTCAATGGAGTTGAAACATATTGAAAGTTTATTAGTTATTTATTTATTTAGGCCCTAAAGTCGGTTTTTATTATTTTTTTGGAATTTTTTTTTTAATATTTTTAGATCTTAGTGTTTGTTTCTTTTTCAAATTACTTTGAGGTTTTGGCTGAAAATTAACTATTTATGTATAACTTTGAGGTTGAAAAATATCATTTTTGTTTTATTAATAAACTTTTATTAGAAAGTATCTCAGTTTTTTTAATTTTTAATATTCTTTAAATCAATGGGATTGAAGCCTATTTCTTAGTAATTATATACAATTCAACAGATTATAATAAACTAACATTTAAACTAACTTTTAAATTTCAAATCAATGATAATTATTTTCTTTTTAGTGAGTTTCTGCTACGTCACTTTTAGGCATAACTTTTTTAGGGTTTTATTTTTATTTTTATTTTTATTTTTTTTATGGGTGGAATAAAAGCCTTGCTTTGTGGAATTAATGATGAGGGTGTGTCAATTAGCTTTAAATAGCCTACAACGTAGGCTTTGTGACCAAGTTCTCATTGAGCTTCCTTTAATTGGTTGGGCTGCCAAGGCCCGAATAACTTTGGGTGTAACAATTGCCTTACATTATTTTTTACTCTTTTTTGGCAAACACTAATAATATTATAAAAGTAATATTTTTTAAAAATAATTTATACATTCTTTATTCATGTATGTATTGTTAATTTATATTCATGTCACATAATTGAAAAAGAACTTAAAAAAAAAAGTTTCATAATAATATAATGTTAAGTGAAAATGATTTAATATATATATATTAAATTTTGAAGATAATTCAATTTATTTCCCTAATTTTACTTTAGACTAGTTAATAATTATTTTATTTCATTAAAAAAATTAATTTAATTATCATCATCAAAATTTACATAAAATTATTTGAAAATCAAATATTTTTATTTAATAAACATTCAAATTTATTCATTTATAAATAATTCTAAAAGTCTATTAGAAATAACCAAAAAATAATATGAATTAGTTAAATAATACATAAGCGAAGCAGTTGTCATGAAACAAGTAAAAAAAAAAATAGTTGGATACTTTTCTTTCGTAATGAATTACAAACATTACTATAAACCATTTAAATTAGTCTTCCCCTTTGTGGGTCGTAGATATATTTTTGCTTTAAGCACAAACAATCATTTAACGAGGTTTTAGATAATTTATTTAAATTAATCTCCCTTTTGTACATCCTCAAACATCACAGTAACCAAACCAACCTAATTGTCTAGGATGGATTAAAAATTATTATTTCAAAGGCTTCTTTTTTCAATCAACAGTTAATTTCACGTCAAGTCGTTATTTCTTTTTCTTTCTTTGATGTGTCAAGATATTATATTAAAGATATGTGGTTCTTAACTAAAGAAATTCCATAACTGGAAAAGGGAAACCAATCAAGTAGTGCAAACCATAAAATCATGGCTAGTGTCTTTGGAATAGCCGACCAAATTCTACAAAAGTAATTAGTCTTTCTTGCTTTAATATTAGAATAATTTAGAAAGCAATTAGTAAATGCTAAATCACCTATGGAGTTTCACGTGGATATGAATTCTCTGTCGGTCTTTATGCTCTCATAGCTCAACTCAATAATAATAAATAAATAATATAATAATCACAGTAAGCATAATGTTAATGATGATGAATGTCATTATCCAATATTCAAGGGACTTTTAAAAATTTATGATTTTTTATTATTGAAATTTTTTTATTTATGAATTATCGTTGAAAATTTATGATTTATTATAATAACAGAAGCTGGCATTTGGATCAAATTGGTTAAAATCTGAGAATAGATTGACCAAATTTAAAATAGATAAATAAAATTGAATAATTGCGACAAACATGTTGATAGATCCAGCAATGAATAAAAATCATCCACGTATGGAAATCGATTCATCCCGTCGGGGAATAATTAAAGCAAATACTGGGCCAATAAGGTAAAGCATCCTTTTTCATCCATGACAATTAATTGACAAGCAATACCGAAAGAAAAGCTGCTATCTTTTGCTTTAAAAAATTCTACGCTAAAAAAAGTGTAACCCCTATTCTTTTGTCACGTTATATCTGAAGAAAGTTTGTTGCCTTGGCCTCTCCTTTTTAACTTCACTAGCCTTTTTTGGATTCCAATATTGCTATTTTAGCTTTCTTTTTCTCTTTTGGAGACGTTTATTGTCTCCTTTTGGACTTGCTTCTTAGTTCTTAATGATATTTTATCTGCTTTCGTTAATGAAGAAAGAAGAAGAAGAATTTTTGTAATAACTTTATTTTTTATCTCCCCTTATTTTTATACAAATTAAAATTCAAAAAAAAAATAAAAAAATTGGAATGTTGAATAGTTTGTTCTTTTTTATTATTTCTAGGATTTTAATTATTCCTCACTTTTAATTAAAAAAGAAAAAAAATTAGAAGATTATTTATCCTCAAATCCTAAAAATCCCCTGTATAAAGACCATCTTCCTTCACTTTTAGGATACTGGGGAAAAAGAAAAAACTCTAGCCTCTCACTCGTCTTTCCACTAAAAAAAAAAAAAAAAGTTTAGCCTTTATCACCTATATCTAGATATGTATAAGTTAGAATAATAAGAATTCTTTAGAATTTAGAATATGTCTAGATTTGCTCCTCCATTATTTCATAATCTTTTAAAGACTTTTAAACTTATCTAATATTCTTAGTTGGCTTATAGAAAAATTCATCTTTCATACATTCTTAACATTGAGCTCAAATTCAGCTACATGAGCTTGAGCATAGATATTTAAGTGTCAATGCTTGGTGTAATTTTGGACCATTGCTTTCGAGAGAGATTTAGACCATTTGATATTTAGACTTCTCCAAAAGTTCCAAGATTTGACACAAATCCTATTGGATCTAAAATATCCTTAATTATTATTTGAATAAATATATGGTTATATTAAAAAATCTGATAAATTATGGAAAGAATATGTAAGAAACTCAATCCAAAATTCACGGAAATTAAATGGCGAATTTAATATTGTTCATCTACTAAACAATAATTATGTCCATTTTTTCATTCTTTCTCTATTTTTTAAAGTCTTTGAATTTAATTGTTTATTTTTAATGATAATTAAAGGTATTTTAGATTTAAAAAAGCTTTTCTGTAATATTTTTTAAAAACATAAAGAGAATTTTTTGGTTATTTTCAATTTTATGATAGCTCAAATGAGTTATTATAATTTATCCTAAATCTTAACCGCTAATTAAAAAAAAAAAAATCTTTGATCTCTCTTCTTATCTTTCTCTTTCAATACCTCATCTACATCTTTTACATCCCCAGACATCTTCTTGTCTGGGATGGATTAAAAATTATTATTTCAAAGACATTTATTTTTCAGTCAACATATAATTTCACGTCAAGTCATTATTAATTTCTTCTTCTTTCTTTACGTTTCAAAATATTTTACTAAAGATAAGTGGTTCCCATCCAAAGAATTGCGATAAAGCACAAAGGAAACCAATCAATCAGTGCAAACCATAAAAGCACGGCCAGTGTCTTTGGAAGAGCCAAACAAATTCTACAAAGCAATTAAAATTAGTCTTTCTTTATGTAATGGATTAATTTGGAAAGCAATTAGTAATTGCTAAAGCACCTATCGAGTTTCACGTGGATATGAAAATTCAATAAATTATATATACAAGTGTGTGTGTATATATATATATATATATATATATATATATATATATATAAGATGCTAACTTTTTATCTTCTGATAGTGCTTGTCGGTTGTCACAGATGAAAAAAGATGCTTTGCTTGATTGCAGGTCGTGTTTATATCCGCAATATTTGTTTTAATTATTTTCCGACCAACAGCATGCATGAACCTATTTCCAAAGAAAGGTGCAAAATTTTTTATTCATTGCTTGAATCCATCAAGTTCACGATGAATGATGATCAAAGATCAATGACGTACATGCATACGTTTGACTATCTTTTAGTGGTTGATCATCAAAAGTTAACTTCATGAACTGACAAGTTGCTAATTTTTATTTTTATTTTTTTCAAATCCATTAATTTACCAATGTCTACAAATCTTATGATAAGTTTACAATTTTTAGGGTCATTCATTACAAGAAAAGTAGCAATTAGATTCCATCTCTAACTAACGATAAATTAACAATGAATTAGTGATTGACAAAGAAAAATGGATTTTTACGAGTGATTAGCGGCGAAACAACGTGGTAAAAATATGTCGGGTTTAGCGACGAATTTTTGTCATAAAATAATCTTTCGCTATCGGTTGATAAATAGCAACGAATTATTTTGTCGCTAAGCAAAATATGAAGGGGCTCACACTAGGGGTTAAATTAGTGATGAACTAGTGATCCATCGCTAATTTGAAAACCAAAATCGCGACGGAATTTAAAATCCGTCGCTATTTTGGCAAAATTTTAGGGGAACTTTACTTCAAATTAGTGATGGATTTGTCAATCCGTCATTAATTTGGCTCCTTTTGTTAAATTACATTCGAAATAGTTCAAATTATCGACGAATGCTTTCGTCGCTAATTCAAAATAGTGACAGATTTTACAATTCGTCGCTAATCCATCGCTATTTTGGATCTTTTAGGGAGAATCGAAAAACTTCCAACGCCCTTTTCGGTTTCAAATTAGCGACAAAAACGAGTTTTCGTTGCTATTTAGAGACGGATTAGCGACGAAATCGCGTCTATCGCTACTTTGAATCCCTATAAATTCCTCTTTCTCTTCTTTTCCCTCATTTTACTCCCCCTCTCCTCCACCTAAAAACGTTTCACCTACCACAAAAATGCTACCCTTGCCGCCCCACGCCACCAAGCCACTCAAAAATCAATTCAACAAAGTGAGGTGCATTTCTCTCTCTCAAAATCGACCGGATATCTCGCTCTATCTCCTTGATCTCTCGAGTAAAACTTTCTCTCTCTAAATCTTTTACTTTTTTAAATTAAATAAATGTTATAAATTTTTAGGTTAATTTTTTTATTTGTTAGTTCATTAATTTTTTGAATGTTGTTAATTTTATTGTTATGTTACTTTTTAATTATGTTAAGTTGTATGCTAATTATTAGTGTAAATTTCTTAATTATTTATTTAATTTTTTAAAACTCGTTAGATTAATTTTGTTAAGTGTTACATTTTAGTTATGTTAATTTTTAGGCTAATTTTTATGTTAATGTAAAATTAAAAAAAATTAATTATGTTAATTTTTTAGGTTTAATTTTATTAATGTAAATTTTTATGTAATTTAGTTAAGGTTTATTTATTGTTAATTTATAAATTTTTAATTTTTAGGTTAAAATTTAATTATTTAGTCTTTAATTGTTATTTTAAATTTTTTAATTAATTAATTATTTATTTGTGTTAATTATTAGGTTAATTTTGTTAGTTTTTTTGTTTTAAATTAATTTTTAAATTATATAATTTTTTAAATAATTTAGTTAAATTTTGTTGATTATTTCTTAAGATATTTTTAATTTATTGGTCGGTTAATTTTTTTTTTAGTTAATTTGTTGTTAGTTTCGATATTGAGTTTTGTTTGAATTAATTACTAGCTTAATTAGTTTAAATTAATTTATTTTAATCGATTTGATTTATGGTTATTTTGAATATAAATTATAAAGTAATTTTTATATTTTAATTATTAAAATTGAAAGAAGATAACATGCATCATGATTTAATTGTTCGAAAAATAAAAAAATTGGAATAAAAATATAATTGGAAAATAAACGTAAACATTAAAATTTAATTAACATTTTATTAATTAATAGAATTTAATAAAAAATTTATTTAGTATTAATTAAATTAAATTTATTATTAAATTAATTAGAAAAATTTAATAAAAATGCGATTGGCTCGATCCTACATTATAAGGAACAAGGGTTCATCCATCCACGAGTATAAACTTGTGGATGTTAAGCGTAAGAGAACTTTGAACAATTACGAACCATTTGTCCTAGCATCACGGTTGGCTTAGGGGTATTATATGGAGTACCCTAGCTTAATGCGCGAGAATTGAGATTGATGGGTCGTGTGTAATATCAAAGCTAGGTACGTTTATTTTAGTCGGGAGGTCTAGGAAGCGTGACGAATAGATTTTGTGAGACCTAATAGCGTGGCTCGTTTAAAACAAGCATCGCGGACCCAATTGTTGGAGATCGATGGTCCTAGTGCATATCCTTTTAGGCATATAGGGGGCTCCATATATATAGAAGAGCACACCCGTCGCTTGGTAAATTGCACACTTTCTATTATTAATTACATATTTAAGAACATTTCAATTTTCTTCTCATACTGTCCGTAATAGATTTTTTTCTAGAGGCAAAATTGGGTCGTTAGATAATGAGTTTTGAGTTGTTCCAAATGACTCACAAGCGACGAGATGGTTCATTCATCGATTTATGCTCCCAATAAACAATGGTAAGTGTTTTTCAATTTGAAATATTAAATATGAAAAGATAATCTAAAATTTATTTTAATCCTATAATGATGATATCATTATTTTGATTACGCAAGACCGTGTGGAGCGACCTAATCCAAGAGGCGGGAATCATGAAGCTAGAAATTGACCATAATGCCATACATCTCGAGGCTTTTGGGAAGAAGAAGAAAAGGTTTTATGGTATAGGCACACGGTTGTGCATTATCCGTACTAGTTAGGTGGCGGTAGCTTCTCCTTTATGATGTCGTATTACACTATCGACCCGGCTAATGAAGAGCTTCGGAGGGATTACGAGGCTACGAAGAAAGCGATGAAGAGGATGCACATGATACAATATGAGCTCCAAATCCGAGATCTTAGAGTAGCAAAGCTAGATCTCGGAGCGACATCGGACTATTTATAATCCGAAATCTCGGTATGACTCGATGATATCCTTAGTGTCGAGGCTAGCATAAACAACCGGAGTGCCTATAGATCCGTCAACTAGCCAACGAGTCTATCATTTCTTTCACTCGGCCTCTTATGCGGCCTCTAGCCGATCCTCCCATCAAGCCCTCCACACAATGTCGGGAGTAGGATATCGAATTAAACGAGTATGATGAGTGATAGGGCATTTAGTCACTTTATTTTTTTTTATGGTACTCTAGAATTGTATTATTAACATCAATTTATTTTTAATATATACGTTATTACTTGTAATTTTTAATTATTAAATATAATATTAATTATTAATTATTAATGCAATATTAATAATTTAAAAATAATAAAAAATTATCAAAATTTTTTATTTTTACCAATAAATAGCGATGGAATAACGACAAATTCGTCTTTACATTTAGTGACGGAATAGTGCCTACATAATTAGCGACGAAGTTTCGATCGCATTTTAACGACAAAAATAACGACGACATTGCTACGGAAGAAACAACGAGATCCCATGACAAGATTAGCGATGGATTTTTTTTCAGATTAGCAATGAAAATTTCATCACTAAACCTTATGATGGAATGGAGTTTCCATCATAAAAAAATAGCGACAAATGAAATAATGATGGATGTAAGTTCTATCGTTAAACTCGTTTAACGAGGGAATATAAGTAATTAGTGACGGATTAATCCGTTGCTAATTACCTTTTTTTGTTAGTGATTTTAATTTAAATAGCACAATGATAAATTTATTTACAATATATTACTATAGTTTATTATTAGAAAATTTAATTGATTTGATTGATAATATAAACTCCAGTAGAGAGTGTAACACCCACGGCCTTATAGGAAGCTGAGAGTGCTACTGTACCGTCACACATCCAAGAGAGGATTAAAAAGGCCTCGTACCCATACCCAGGGACCTGTCTGATCCTTAATAGGCCGACAAAAAAATTAAAAAATAAAAAACGAAATCAAGAGTTATCAGACCTGCATGATGAAGGCCCAGAAAATCAGACCCATTATTCATAAGGGCAAAGAAGAATTCAAAGGCAGTTCAAAGGGGGTTTCCAGTGTGTGTATATATATATATCTTCCTTTGCTGGACTAGATGTTTTTATTTAGAGTTCCAATTCCATCACGTTCTTAAGACTGATCGAAGAAAGATGACGTGTGATTAATTTGCTTTTATTTAACAATTGAGTCTATATATCAAAAGTTTGCTTAATAAAAACAAAATATAATAAAAGTTTATATTAAAAAAGTTTTACTATATTTGTTAAGTAATTATTTCAAAAATACGATAAAAGTAGAATGATAATATGTTGTGGCAGTGGTGGTGGAGGTGGAGGTGGAAGTGGACATAATAGCAGTGGTGGCGGTGGACATATGAAGTTTTAGGAATATTGACTGCACAAACATTTTCATATAACAAAACAGGAAAAGAGAAATAAAAGAAGAGAAAGGGAAAAACCAAGCGACCATACTTATGAACCCTGTCAGATCACACAACTTCAGAAACTGACGAGGGAGTAATCCCTTAGGACTCTGTAAGGATGGTGACAACTTCAGACATGCTAGGCCTGAGAGTAGGGGACAGGTTGATGCACCTCATGGCCAAGTTCAAAACAGTGAGTGCCTGTTTGTTATCATATCTGGATGCTAACTTTTTATCAACCAAACGCAGAATCATTCCTTCTGTATGTAAACGGCCAGCCTGGAATTACACAACAGGATCAGTTAAGGTAACAATTCCTTCCATTGGTCAAATGATTTTTGTATATGGTAATATAATCTTGCCAAATTCACTTACAGTGTCTAAAAGAAAATCAGCTTCTTGGTTTGGTATATATTCTGCAATACTTCTCCCACTGACTATTTCGAGTACGATCATCCCGAAGCTATAGACATCAGCTTTAACTGTTATGGCTTTCCCCAATGCATACTCAGGTGCCATATATATTCTGTAATATAAGAGATTAATTATTGGTTACAGCTAAAGGGAACAACAAATGTTTGAGGATGTAATTAATTTGTTGCTTACCGATTTCTTTTTGATTTGATGGCCGTAAATGGATCTTCCTCATCATAAATTGCTGCCAATCCGAAGTCCGATAACTTTGGGGTATGAGTTTTATCCAGCAAAATGTTACTGGCTTTAATGTTCCCATGAACAATCTTGATTTTGATCATCTTTTCATCTTCCTCATGCAGATACTTCAAACCTTTAGCAATTCCGAGGCAGATATCAAATCTAGATCTCCAATCAAGTTCTGTTGCCGAGTTTGTTCCTTTTTGTTCCACAAATCCAAGGAATTAAAATGGTTGCTGTAAATTTTTCTACTATAAAAAAATTTCTCAATCTGACAAACATTATTTCAATCTAGACCAGTATAGTGAAAATATTACCAAACAAGGCTTGATGAAGGGAGCCTGTTTCCATATATTCATAAATTAGTAGATGTAGGTCTTTGTTTGAATATCCACCCAATAATTGAACAAGATTCTCATGACTCAATGATATCAGGTTGCCGATTTCACTTTTTAGTTCATCTTTGTCTTGCTGTTTCGATTGAGGAGAAATCTTCTTCACTGCTAGATTAATCTGATTTGCCAGTTCAGCCTGCAAAAACTCAAAATATAAGATACGAATGTTTCGTGACGACTTCAGCCTGCAAAAACTCAAAATATAAGATACGAATGTTTCGTGACGACTTCAGCCTGCAAAAATCAAGTAATTAAAAAAAAAAAAATCTAACCTTGTATACTACGCCGAAACGTCCTCTGCCAATCTCCATTTTGGGGCTGAAATTTTTAGTGCCATCTACTATCTGTTGAATGGTGAAAGATCTTTGCTGGATTTCTATTTGTTTTTCTATATATTTGAAATGCAAAAACCATCAAAGAAGTGAATTAACACGCAACACAAAAAATGTCAAATGGAAAAACCATCATCTTGAAGGATCTTTCAAGCAGGGAAATGCAAAATGGTTTTAGATTAGCTTATTGTCTCACCGCGCAACTCTCTATTCCCTAGCCATCCCATTTTCCATATGAAAGCAAGTAGAAGTAACGGAGCAAATGCACAACCTATTGTGATCCCGGTTATTTGGGCAGCAGACAGCTTTCCATCATGAACTTTGTAGTCTGAACATAACAGACATAAAATGACAGAAATTTTGTATCTGATGCTTGAAGTTATATAACACGTGTGAGCTAAACAAAACTCAAGAGGAATGCAGCATTTTTTTACTTGGAGTTACGGAAATCGCTGATATAAGAGGTCCATTCAGAAGAGGTGGGTTATTCAGAGATCCTTTTCCAGCCCAGAAAAAATGAATCTCCAATGGATGGTCATCAACAATTGCTGGGAACTTTTCTATCCATGCTTCATTTGGACTTTGGGCCTTCTCTTTTATGTTGAAATCCTTCAGTTTTCTCTCACCCTGTAATGAAATTTAGTACCTCATATCATGGCAATAGTAGTATGAACCCGTTGCGCAAAATTATTACCTGAATATATACGTCAAAAATACGAGTCCCTAAGCTGCTGTAGTCTTCATCCTGTGTATAAATAATTTCAGCAAAGTGAAGTTCCACTGTGTAATTTCCTTTTTCCAAACAGAATCCATAATACGTCAGAGAGACAGGGCAAAAGCGAGCTGTTTTATACAAAGATTCTTCCGAAATAGAAACTCCACAGGTCGTGTTCTTAACGTAATCGCTTGAATTGGCGACTGATGACAAGAAATCTCCAGAACAAGAATAAGCCCACTTTCCTGGAATGCTGTAAAACCTGTTTTTTGCATTATCTTCATCATATTGATTCCCTTCAGCGACTGTGCGTGCGCCGCCACAGTTTATGAACAAGGAATGATCTGCAAAGCATAATGCCATTAGAAACTGAAAGACTCTACAAATGATCTTATATTGGTTGTAGATAATTGATACTAGGATTTGGTGGCCTTTCTGACGCACATTTACAACAGCATTTTACCCTAAAACTTACGTTTTGATGTACATTGCTTGCCAAGTGCGAGTATAGAATCCCTAGAAAGAACAACAAACTGGCTTGTGAGAAAATTAAAAATCATCATTATGCAATCTTACAGTACAGAATGTATCAGGATACCTGTTTGGTTCAGTTCTAGTTGAGAAGCAGCGGCAGCACAGCAAACGAGTCGAAAGGAAATAAGAACACACATTCACAAGTTGAAATTTAGAATGAAATAAAATTGTCAAAGGGCATAAAAAGAAAACAAAACCAAAGGGCTTACATATTTGGTTTTCCAGGGCCTGGGATCTTGAATTTTGTTGAATTATGGTGTGGTGGATCTGTATCTGTCAAGTTATTATAGGACAAATCCCTGCAACATACTAATTTTCTTAAGAACAGCCAATTTCTTTCGTCCTTTTTGTTTTTCCTAACTAAGATTACTCAACAACATACTGTAAAGGAGAAACAGATTCTTGGTTTCAAATTCGAGGTTATGGAAACTTACCCTTTATATATGTCATGAATCGATGGAGGAATTGGCCCATCAAGCTTATTGTTTGTCAGAAACCTATTCAAAATCCTCAAATTGTAAAATATACATATCGACTTTTAAACTGATTCCATATTAAAGACAAATTACGATGAGTTCGGTTTGGGTGAGTTGAAGAGAATTGTTTACTACTTACAATGCACTCAAAAATAGATTTGGGATCGGACCAGTTAAGCTGTTAAAGCTCAAGTCTCTGCAAGAATACCATCAAAGCAGTAGTAATTATCTTGAAATTTGATCTATATATGTTAAAAGCATTTGAAATAGAATGAAGGAGATGCTCTAGCGGTTATCGGCATCCTAACATTTTGGTCCTTCTGTTTTCCTATCAGCTAAACATGTACAAGTCACGTTTCTCACCCATACACAGAAAATTGTTTAACCTAAGCTCTAATGTCAGTGTTGGGTGCTTTTGGACATTCTCAACTCAAAAACTAGTTGAGAGAAGACTTTTCTTCATATTTATAATCAACAATCCAGTCTTTCTACAATCAATATGAGATAACTTAACAAATATTAACCTTATTATATGCAGATAGACTGAACCATTTTCTACTATAAAAAAATAAAATATGGCAATTGACGATATCATTTCTGAGTCATATAAAGAAAAAGAAACTTACAGGTATGATAATGATGTCGAATTACCAAGGTAGTCGGGGATAATACCAGTAAGTGAGCAATTCCTGAGCATCCTGTAAAAACCATTTAATAAGTTTGCAGTTTGAATTGATCTATTGATTTTGGGATTATAAACCATAAATTTTCAAGCCCTTAATTAAAATGAATAGGAGCAACTTGAAGCAGATCACTCACAGGCTATTCATGTTTGTCAGATTTGTAAATTTTGGAAAAGAGAAACCAGAATTAGTAAGATCACTAACCCACCTGAAAAAAAAAACATAAATCATAGAAGCATTAAGAGGAGAAAATTGTTGATTCATAGTAAGAAATAAAGAGAAGTAGAAGACAAGAGCATTTACAGAAATCTAAGACTGGACATATTGAGAATTCCTAGAGGCAGCTCCCCTTCAAAATCATTTCCCATGAGGTTCCTGTCATCAGTAAATTCAATCTCTGAATTGTCTGCTTTTTTTTTTTTTTTTTTTTTATAATGCTAACTGTTCAAGCCATCAAATGTAGAAAGTATTGAGCCATTTCAATTCATAAATTAAAAGCAACTCACTGAGGTTTATACATCAATTTCTGTTAGGCAAAAATCAGGAACGTATAATATAATGATGGTTCAGCAAGTGTAAATAATCTTACAGGTAATTGAGTTTGGTCCAATTTGCAACGAATGGTGGTATCTTACCCCTTAACTTATTCCCAGCGACGTTACTGCGAAGAACCATTAAGTTTTCATCAGTCACTATGGACCATAGATAAAACTGAGGCTAAGAAGACATGAACAGTTGCACTTACAAGCTCAGCAGAGACGTAAGATTGGCAAAACTTTCTGGCAATTCTCCAGTCAAATTGTTGGAATTCAAATAACTGTAACACAACAAAAACTCCTAAATTTCTTGAAGTTTTTTATAGATTAAACAAAGGAGATGATGTTATATGGAGAAACTTACAATCGTGGAAGCTTGTTCAAGTTTCCAAGATCTCGCGGAAGATTACCAGAGAGTTGATTTTCTTGCAATCTCCTAAATATTAAATCAACGAAAATGAATAATAAAAGATAATTTCAAGGAAGTCTGACATATTGAGTTAAGAGTGTATACAGTGAAGTGAGATTTAAGAGGTTGCCCAATTCTGTAGGAATTTGACCTGATAACATATTATAACTCAAATCCCTGTAAACAAAATCCAAGAATTGCAACAAAATTAAAATTTCAACAATGGAAACAATCTACGTTGGTAAGTAACTGAACAGACAATGATGGTGATGTTACTTACAGAGTAGTAAGGTTTATCAAATTCCCTAAAGATGCAGGTATGGATTCTTTCAGGAAGTTCTTACTCAGTTCACTATGGTCAGTAAAGAGGACAGTTATAAGCATTTGCATTGAGCATGAACAAGTGAACTAAAGTAGAGAGAGTTGAACATAAAAGATGGTAAGACTACTTACAGCATTTGCAGAGCTTTCAGATTCCCCAAGGTCGGTGGAATTGGCCCAGATAATTGATTATATCCAAGATTTCTGATCATATAATGTAGTTTTTTTTTTCAATTATCACAAGAATATATATATATATGACAACTAGAAGTACAATGCTCGAGCACTTACAAACTCGTTAGCCGAGTCAAGTTCCCCAAGGAATTCGGAATGCTACCCTGAAGTTGGTTGTCGGAAAAATCACTGTTGAGGCAAGTCCATCAGAAATTTGTTGCCTTGAAATCTCAAATTTCACCAAATATAATTATAGACAAGTTGTTAGAGTATACAACTGATGGTGTCATATGCCTCTCAAATAAAATTCTTTTGACCTATGCCTTAAAGATAGCTTCACATAATAATTTATAATACAGACCTATCAGTATTCTATGTTTTGATATCAATATTAGGTGTTATTAGGCCTTCTCAATCCCAAAAGTTACCTTACTTCTCAACTCAAAAAACTACTTTCAGAAGTGAAGCTTTCCCTAACACTTATAATCAAACACCTAGTCATTTCCACAACTAATGTGAGACAACTCAATAATCTTTTTTTCACATATCGAATCTTAAATTGGTTATTTCTCATTAACTTGTGCAACTTCAATGCAAAAAAAAATTATTTAACCTAAACTCTAATACTATGTGAAAAAAATATTTCAACCCAAAAAGTTAAACTGTTGAGTAAAGTTTTAAAATATGATTTATATTGTTCTCTAATAATAGGTATAATATCCATTTGTTACCTCTAATTACCATTATCTGTGTGGTTTTTATAATTTTCTTTTCATTATCCTTTAATAAAATTCTGATCTTATTCATTAAAAAAAAAAGTCAATTAATTGTATTTTCTAGAGTTTAAAACAATAATTTGTGGTGCTTTAGATCAGCACCACAATATACACCTACATTTTGTTCAGGTAGATGAGTTTAGACAAGTCCTCATGGATATGTCCACTTAAGCTCAGGCTGTATGTAACTCTGCCAGCCAAAAAATAACCGAGTTAAATTTGGAATCAATAACCAAATAATTTACTGCACTTGCCCTTCAAGTTCAGGAAAATATTTACACGGCAGTAATGTGACAAATGGTGGTGGTTTCGTCGCAGTTGCAGGTGATGGAAATGCTTTTATCATCGGACTGTGAGCAGTAAGAACGTGAAATTGATGGTGATGGCAACCCCAACTCGGAGATGACTGCTCTAAGAGCATACACTGCATGGAAAATATTTTTACAAATAATCAATTCATCATCTAAGTTATATAGAGAGTACATTGTAAATTAGTCTCTGTATTTTTTTAGAAATAAATTAATTAATCCATTTTGTTTCAAAAACTATTTGTTTAATATTTTCATAATCATTAGCCATACTTACTTTTTTTAAAAAAAAAAAAAATCATATTTTCTCATCAATTATTTTATATATTTTATTTATTATTTATTTATTAAAAATAAATAAAAATAATTAATTTACAAAAAAAATTAAAAATATATATATAAAAAATTCAGGTGGGAACGCATCCCAATTTTAGAAGCAGCAGCAGTAAACTTGCATCTGGACTACTAGGTTGGCTGATAGGCTGGTCCAAGCCCGAAGTATTTTATCAAACTTGGATCTTGTTATTGATAGGTCGGCTTGGGCCTAGACGACCTCTTAAATAAATGGGCTTGCACTGTGCTTTAACTCCCAAATCATCAAAAGAAATTTAAGAACAAAAGATTTTAACTTTTAAAACTAAATTATAAATTAATTAGTTCTTCATATTTTAAAAAATAACTATTCAGTTTTTATATTTTTAAATATTTTTACAGCTAAATATTTTTTTCAAATTATTTTTGAATTTTTTTTAAGAAATAGAAAATAAAAAAATAAGTAAAAAATATGAAAAGATGGATGATAAATTATGATATTTTATAAAATAAAATAATATTAAATTAAACGTAATTAAAATTGATAAAAAATTAAATAAATATTTTTTGAAATAAGAAAGGCTAATTAATTTTTTACTTGAAAATATAGAGATTACTTTATAATTTACTCCAACTTGTACTATGATACCATAGTAGCATTTTAATGAAAAAAAAATACATTGTAATGTTGTAATATTAAAATTTAAAATACTAGTGCTGGCATCCAATAATTTGTTAAGCATTTTCTATAGTTAAAAATCAAACTTTAAAAAGTATTAAATTATTTATTATCTTATGTGTATTTTTAATATCTAACTATATTTATTTGAATATATTATCAAACTAACTTTTTTAATTTTTTTTTTTTTTTAACGTTAGTGATTGAGGCAAGTAAAATGAGCAAATTCATTATTAAGAAAAAAAAATATATATATATATTGTGGGAGGGTACTTATAATAATAACCGGTATTTACAGACATAACCAAGATAATTCTCAATCCATCATGTTTGTATTTTTATTTTCATTGTATTATCAAAATAAATCAGTTTTAAAATGAAAATTTCAAAGTCTCTCTCTCTCTCTCTCTCTCTATATATATATATATATTCAACAATTAAAGATATTTGAAGTCGTCAATATTTAAACTCACCTTCATCACAAGGCAAACCGTCATTTGTACTGCAGTTGAACTCGCTCTTACGCGTCCCTCCACGATTGTAGGGATCAGTGCCTCGACTCAGGCAATCACGATTGTATTGAGAACAAGGAATATTTGTTTTCGGATTTGCAGAAATTGTACCCTGCCCAACACTTGCAGTGCTCCGGAATCTGAATCCAGAACCATGTTGGCATAGAAGAAGAAGAATAGAGAGAAGGAAAGGAACAACCATTTTTCTTTTGTTTCTTCAGTACACTGAGAGATATTGCACTATATATTATGGACACAAAGATTCCTCACGTCCAAAAAAGTTTTGTGCTTTAAAAATTAAACAAAGACTAGTGCAAGACTGCTTTTAACTTTATATCAGTATTCTTTATTTATCTACTAATAAACTTTCAATACAATGCCTGTTCCACCAACCCCCCACAAAAAAAAAAGCTACAGCTGTTTTTGACGAGGAATAGCATTGAGACCAATGAAGAAAAATCATCCCACATATAGGAATTGGGTTCATCCTGTCGGGCAATGATTAAAGCTTTTATATTGATAATATAATACTATTATTTTATATGAAATAAAATTGTTATCTTGGCCTATGTTTGGTTGTGAAGATTGACATGGATATGATTTACAGTTTAGTGCATTATACAATTCAACGTAATTATGTATAGAGCCATAAGGTTTTTTTTATTATAACTCATGTTGTCCATATTATACATAGAGAGAACATCTTTTGTATTTGTAATCATTTATTGAAAATTCTAATAAGAACTCATAATGCACCTATGGAATAGGTACAATTGTCGAATTACATAAATTTTTATATTGTGTTATTGATTTTGTTTTTTTACTCTATTTTTCTTGCTTGATTCATTTCCTAATATTGTGCTTTATAACTTCACTAATTTATTGCCTATTTTTGCTTCGTCGCCATTTAGTTTTAAAGAAACGAATTAGTTTAGAGATTCTAAAATATAGAGTTGGTTATGTTTTTGAAAAGACATCAATCATCTAAAAACAAAATGAATATTTGTTTTGGAATTTGCAAAAATTGTCACCGGCCCAATTACACTTGCAGTGCTCCGGAATCTGAATCCAGAACCATGTTGGCATAGAAGAAGAATGGAGAGAAGGAAAGGAACAACCCTTTTTCTTTTGTTTCTTCAGTACAGAGAGGTATTGCACTACATATTATGGACGCAAAGATTCCTCACGTCCAAAAAAGTTTTGTGCTATAAAAATTAAACAAAGGCTAGTGCAAGACTGCTTTTTAACTTTATATTATTATTCTTTATTTATCTACTTATTAACTTTCAATATAATGCCTGTTCCTGCCCTAACGAAAAAAGGTAATTACTACAGCTGTTTAAGACGAGGAATAGCATTGAGAGCGATGAATAAAAATCATCCCCCCATATAAGAATTGGGTTCATCCTGAAGGCGCAGTGATTAAAGCTTTTATATTGATAATATAATACTATTATTTTATATGAAAAAAGTTTGGTGTCTTGGCCTGCGTTCAGTTCTGAAGAGTGATGTGCATGTGTTCCGCAATTTAATGTATTATACAAGGCAGCAAGACTATGTATAGGACTATAAAGTATTTTTTATTATAACCCAAGCTGTACATATTTAAATAAATTTTTTTTATATTTATAGCTGTCTATTGAAAATCTCTAATAAGAACTCATAGTGCTGAAAGATTTATGTGTGATCAAAAGATGTTTGCTTGTTTATTGAAGATCTCTATTTATAGTTTACAGAGTTATAGCCAAAATAGAAGACTACTTGTAGAGACGGACTACTAACGGAGACGGACCCGAATGTATACATATATAACTTCTATTGAGAGTAGGAGGCACTACTTGATATATACAAAGTGAAGGATAAGACACGGCGGTAGTCTAAGGATAGACACGGCACCGTTGGATCCTTATCAAGTGCATCCGTAGAGTAGGTACAATTATCGAACCATATAAAGTTTTGTATTGTGTGATTATTTTTTTCTTTCCATCCTATTTTTCTTCATTGATTCATTTCCTAATGTTGGAAAGAATTGAAATGAACTTGAAGAAGAACTAAAATATATAGTACTTAATTGCGTATAGAAAATACCTCACATTATCCTTAAGGTGATTGTTGCCCATACTATAATGCTCGTAGGAATTTTAACAATTCACCTTGAGGATATAATTTTTGCACATAAGGAACCGTAGGCGAGCACTCTTGAAATTCCTTCAAGAGAATATCTCTTAAAGTTGTAGAGTCTTAAAGGAAAAGAATTTTAAGAGGAAAGGAGGATTGCGAGAGAATGTATTTGATTTCGTTCTATGTAATAGTACCCTATTTATAGATTATTGATACTCTTTCATAACAAACATGATTGTTGATTCTAACATTCATAATCCAATAGTCATAACTATTAGAGTCTAATAAACATAACTCGTTAGATCCTAACAATCATAAGGCTTGAAAGTTGTTAATAACTAACTAACTACGATAAAAAATTAAAAACTTAATTAATTAAATAATTATGAATTTAATTACATTAAGAAATAAAAATCAATTTCTTAATCACACATGCGCATGTGCAAAGTGCGAAGTGTTAGTCTTTGATTATATATATATATATATATATATATATATTAGCCTAGTTTTTCCTTCAATTCCTTCAATCAAATATTTGAAAGTTTTGCTAGAGGTCTACTTTATAAGTCGCCTCTTATTTTCATTCCTTCTAATGTGCGATAAAATCCCACTTGAAAACATTTTCAAATTTCCTTCATATTACACTTAACTTACTATCTAACATTCCTAAAATTTCTAACAATTCCCTCATTTAGATAAATATGTTAAGTTTTTACGAGTATCACGCATAAAGAAAGATGTCTTTCGACTTGAATCTCTTTTTAGTGTAAATATCTCAAAGTCTTAATGGAATAAATTGTATCTTAAGTGATTGAACCAATATCCCTTGTATTAAATCTGAAAATATCTCACACGTGATCTAATCTAACTTCTCTCGGAGATTCTCAAATAATCTTTTAGCACTTATAAGGCCATATGCTACATCCTAGATTTTCATAACATTTCCAACCCTTGAGCTTTTGCTAGGAGCAAGCACCACTCCTTATGTTTATATAAGTGAATTTCTTATTAAGTTATGAATATATTGGTCATATTCCATAACTTAATCCTCATTAAGAGTTTATAACTCATCCTCCAAACTTTATTAGTACTAGTTAACTTGGAATGGTAACATAAGTGAAATATCCTAGTACTTCCACAACCACTTATCAATAACTTATTTTTACCCATTAAACTTTTAACTAGTGGTAATATAAGAGAAAAGTTGGGTTTCTATTATCGGTGACTCTAGGAGAAGGGTCTTAAACCCCTTTCAATTGAAGTTTTCCTTACTAAATCTTTAGTAAGCCCTTTTGTAAACGGATCCGTTAAGTTGTTACTTGTTCTTACATATAAGATTGTGATAATTCTTTCAAGAATTAATTATTTGACATATTCATGTCTCAAGCTTATATGTCTAGATTTTTCATTGTATATCTTGCTAAAAGCCATAACATAGTAGCTTTACTATCCTAGTGTGAAGAAATGGTCGGCATCGGTTGTGGCCATAACTCTATTTTTAGCAATAAATTTCTTAGCCATTCTATCTCTTTTCCTATAACTCGCTAGTGCAACAAACTCGGATTCCATAGTGGAATGAGTTATACACGTCCGTTTCTTAGAAGCCCATGAAATAGCTCCTCCATCAAGAGTGAATATCCAACCGGACGTAGACTTGTTATCTCTAGCGCTTGTTGTCCAACTAGCATCGGTATATCCCTCCAAAACGGATGGATAACTCTCATAAAATAGTCCTAAACTCAAATTTCTTTTGAGATAACCAAGGACTATAGAAATTGCTTTCCAATTATCACCACTAGGTCTACTAGTGTATCTTGAAATCTTATAAACTACAAAGGAAATGTGTGGCCTAGTGTAATGCATTGCATACATTAAGCTACGAATTACACTAGTATACTCGATTTGAGCAATTGCTCTCTCGAATTTTTCATTAACTTATGTGAATTTTCATATGGGATGCTTACCTCTTTAATTCCCAAATGTTGATTCTTATTTATAATTGTCTCAACATAATGGGATTTACACAAAGCATAACACCTATTGATTTTCTTTACTTTGATTCCCAAGATAGTATCTACCTCTCGTAGATCTTTCATATTAAACTATAAGGATAAATAATTATTTGTTTCATTTACATAATCAATATTTGTCTCAAATATAAACATATCATCCACATATAAGCATACAATAACATCATATTCTTTTATAAATTTAGAATAAATACACTTATTTGCATTATTATGCTTAAATCCATGAGATAATATAATAGAATCAAATTTTTCATGCCTTTTTTTATGCTTATTTCAAACAATATAATGAATTAACTAGTTTGCAAACTTTCTTTTCATTTCTAGGTAATACAAACCCTTCAGAGTTGTTCTATATATACTTTTTCATTTAAGTCACCATTCAAGAAAGTTGTCTTAACATCCATTTAATGCACAATTAGATTATGAATGGAAGCTACAACAAATAGTACTCTAATGGATGTTATCCTAGCCACCGGTGCATATGTGTTAAAATAATCAATACCTTTCTTTTGCCTAAATCCTTTGGCCACTAATCTAGCCATAAAAGTTTGTACTGATCCATCAATATTATACTTTTTACGAAATACCCATTTACAACCTATAGGTTTTGCATCGGGAGGTAAATCCACTAACAACCAAGTATTATTCGATAATATTGAGTCAATTTTGCCATTGATTGCCTTCTTCCGAATGCTACATCTCTTGATGTCATAACTTCTCTATAGGTTTTAGGATCTTCTTCTATATTTAATAAAATAAGTATTTTGTTAAGTATAGATTTTCTATCACCTTCAACTAAGAAGACAATAGACTATGATTCAATAAAATTTGAATCCAAGTTCTTTTCTTTTTTAATCCTTTGACTTCTCCTAGGTTCACTAGGAGTATCATTAGTTTTTCTCTTACCACTTAGATAGTGAAGTTGGATCAATTTGTTTATCTGTTTGTGTAGTAGTATTAGAATCATTGGCAAATTTATGTTCAATAAATTCGACATCCCTAGATTCTACTTTCACATTAGTTTCTAAATCTAATAACCTACATGCCTTGG